GGGGCCCCCGTGAACCGGGAGGGGTAACCCCCCCCCCAGGGGACAGCCCTCCCCGCTGCAGCGTCCCCAGCGCACCCCATCCCCCCAAGCATGCGTCCTCCCTGCTGAGCCCCCATGTCCCTTCCGCCGCCCCCCACCGCTGCCCCGCTTCTTCCTGGGGGCCCTGCTCCCGTTAGCCCCCTGCCCGGGGGTGGACGCCAGCCTGGGAGCCCCCCCATCCCGCTGGGGGCACAAAGGGCCCCCCTCCTCAGTGCAGCACCCCCAAAACTGGAGCCCCGCTCCCACACCACAGTGCCTTCGTGTGAGCCAAGAGTGCCTTCCCCCAGGGGGAGTCCCTCCATGGCCCCGGCAGCCCCCAGCCCCAAATCCAGGCCCGCCATGGAGCGGTGGGCAAGCATCCCGATCCCTCCTTGCCCAGCCTGGTGGCTGCTGTGCCCGTCCAGCTCCGACGGCGGCGACAGCTCGGCACAAAGAGGGGAACCCACTCCCCATTCCGGGCATCTCCCCGGCCCAAAACGGGGGCTCTGCTCAGGCAGGGGGGGATGCAGCCCCCCTGGGGCCCCACGCTGTCAGTCCTTGGGTTTTAAGCTGCTTTTTAAACTGTTTTGATATGTGGTTCTGAATAAATACGGTTTTATCCCGGCCTGGCTCGGCTGTTCTCCCCGCAGGGAAGGGGCACGGCGAGCAGGCTGTCCGCTCCGAGCCGGGAGCCTGGGGGCTCCCCTTGGCGGGCTGCCCGGACCCCCGCACCCCACTCGGGGTGGACAGGCGTGGGGGGCACGCGTGGCTCGTTTCTGGGGCACAGGGAGGGTGCCACACGCTCGCCCTGCGCCTGTCCCTCTCCCTCTGTTTGCCGAGGCCGGTGCCAAGCACGGAGGAGGAGGAGGAAGGGGGGTTTTATCCGTGCCAGGATCTGGCCCCTTCTCCATGTCCCCATCGCCCTCCAGCCGTCCCCGCTGCCCTGCGGCCGGCTGCTGTGCCTCCCTCCCGCTGGCTCCATGCCCCCGGCCACATCTGCCCTCCTCCAGTCCCTCCTGTGTTCCCAGTCCCTCCCAGTGCCCCCCAGTTGCCTTAATTGGGGTGGGACAAGGAAGGATGGACACCAGGCGGTATGAGAGCCCCCTCCCTGCTCCGGGGTCTCTCCCCATGGCCCATTGTGCCCGGTGCTGTGCCCTGGAGCAGGGAAGGGGACGGGAAGCGGGGATGGGGATGGGAATGGGGAGCAGGGATGGGTTTGGGGAGCAGGATGGGGAGCAGAGATGGGGATGAGGAGTGGGATGGGGAGCAGGGATGGGGAACAGGGCTGGGTTTGGGAAGCAGGGATGGGGCGTGGGGATGGGGAACGGGGAGCAGGGCTGGGGAGCAGGGATGGGTTTGGGGAGCAGGGATGGGTTTGGGGAGCAGGGATGGGGAGCAGGGATGGGTTTGGAGAACAGGCATGGGGAGCAAGGATCGG